AAATCACAAAACCCCAAAACCCCAAAACCCCAAAAGCTGAATAATCATATCAATTAATAGTAAATATCAAAATAAATCTCAAATATTTATAAATCCAACTTATTTGGGGCTTTCTTCATCACAGATTGAATCTCTTAAACTAGAGAGAGGATAATTATCTTTTGTTAGATATCTTTCTTGCCTCTTTTTCTTTTTTAATTCATGCTAATTAACATCATCAACAGCATTTTGCACAGGTACCTTAAATTTCATGTTATCTTTTTTAAGCTTTTAATCAAGCCAAATCTACCTAATATCTTTTTAGTTACTTTATGACGATGAACGATTTCTAAACTGTACTTTACTTGCTCGAAAAGATATATTTTCATGAATGTAAACTCTTAAAAGACCAGCAAAAAGCATCTTTTTAATTGACTCAATTTTTTATTATTTAAATTCATTTGCTTAGGGATTGAAAATACAGTTCATGATAACTTCATTTTAGGGATTTGCTAGTGTCTAATAATTTGCAAATAGGTCAATCATTTACTATACTAGGTTTTATTGTCTCGAATTATCATCTTTATCAATTTTTTTCTAATCATTATTATGAACCGCCTTTGTTTAGTGTGTGATCAAATTTTCTTGAAAGTAAGGGATAAGTTTTCTATGTTTTAAGGAAAACAGCCTTTTCTTGATTATTTTTAAGTCCCTTTAGCATTTGAATAAGTACTAAACATCTAATGATTCTGTGATTTTCTTTCTCGCAAGTCTAAAAAGCTTCGATCTATAGTTTGAATCTTTGTTTTTACCGCAGCAGATGGATCAAAGTTTCTAACTACATGCTTCTTTCGCTGAATAATCAAAGGGCCTTCTCAAAAGTATTTCCTTTATCATCTCTAAGTACATTAGGGGAGGATTCATTTTAATATCTGAATTTTAGGTGTTGTTCATATTCTCTGAGTTTCCTACATCCGAATTCTTGTCTATAAGATATCTTCTTCTAATTATACTCTTATCCAAGGAGAATTATTGGAAGGGTCTTATTGTGACTCTTACTAGGTTGGTTAGCATTCCAATTAAACCACCAGTAGCTGAAAGAAGTTACAATAAATTATATGTTTTTCTATCATTGATATTAATGGTGTTTTAAAGAGTTATTCTTGCTTCAATATAATTATCTCCTTCTTCTCTATCTATATTGGTATAAGATTCGACAGTTGATTGGATATACTCATACCTGAATTAATCTAACGATTCATGCAGAATAGAATTTGATCCTTAGGCCACATTTAAAAAGAGAGAGAAAGTATTTATTCTCAGATTTGATTTATTGATGTAGAAGCTTTTACTTTCAATAAAAGTTTTTATTGGATTTTGATTGAATTCTTCTACATCGAAATAACGGCTACTGTATATGAACTTGAGATATGAATTTTGTATGACTTCATCAAGTTTTTCTTCATCCTCCTCACAGTATGATCCTGTATAGAATTCATCTAGAAATGCTTAATCACAATCTGTCACGTAAATACTAATTTTAGAACTAAACCCAACTTCAAATCATTAATTATCTTCAGTGCAGAGCAATTAGTAGTTATATTCAACAGCTTCTTCTAAATATGTTTTAAACAGTGTCTCGTTAAAGAATCTGTAATCTTAGCACGGGATTAATTTAATGTCTTCATTTTTTACAGGATCATTTCCCAAAACATATAGGCTAAGGTATTAATATATATTTTGAGTTTCATTCTGAGTTTCCCAGTAAAGAGGTGTTTCAATCGCCACTGCCCATTCATAAGAATCTTTTGAGACTTACAAACTCTTGTTTCTGAAATCACCATAACTGATAATGGATTTGATTGTACTCTTTTAATTTGCGATATCCTGAGCTAAAAATCCGGCATAGAGCAAGAGAATACCTACTGATAATATGGTAAATATCGCACCAAGCAATGTTTGTTTTGATTCAACTCCATTATAAAGCAATTTAGGCTAATGCCCATACAAATCAATCCATTTGAGCTTTCTTAATAGTTTGAACAACATTTTGATATATATTCTATATTTAAATTTTTTAATTTTGTAAAGAACCCACTCATCAAATCTACTCCAAAATAAAGTAATGGGGTTTTGGGGTTTTGGGG